GGGGTTGCTGAGCGCCGCATTGGCTTAGTCATGGAGGTCGCTCGTACCTCCATGATCCATGCGGCTGCCCCCCATTTTCTGTGGCCGTTTGCGGTCCGGTACGCCGCGCATCAGCTCAACCTCTGGCCCCGTGTCTCCTTGCCGGAGACCTCGCCCACACTGCTGTGGACGGGGAAGGTTGGCGATGCGTCGCGTTTCCGGGTCTGGGGTTCTCGTGCCTTTGTCCGCGATACCACTGCGGACAAGCTCTCCGCCCGTGCAGTTCCCTGTGTCTTCCTTGGCTTTGTCCCTGACGCGCCTGGTTGGCAGTTTTACCACCCCACCTCGCGCCGTGTCTTTGCGTCTCAGGACGTCACGTTCGATGAGTCGGTTCCCTTTTACCGTCTCTTCCCCTACCGCACTGCCCCTCTCCCTCCCCCGCCGCTCTTCCTCGCTCCGGGTGCTCCCCAGGTAGACCCCCTCCCCGCTCCCGGTCCTGCTCCTTCAGGTGTGTCTCAGGTAGACCCTCCTCCCTTCCCTGCGCCGGTCGAGGTCACTGGTGACTCAGGTCCTACTGGGGGTGGTCCTGCTCGGGGTGCTACTTCTGGGGGTGCTGAGCCTGGGGGTGCGGAGCTTGAGAGTGTGGAGCCTGGAGGTGCTGAGCCTACGTGTGAGGGGTCTGGAGGTGCTGGAGCTAGTGGTTCTGGGGCTGCTGAGGGTGCGGGTGCTGGAGGTTCTGGAGCTGCTGGAGGTCCTGGTGCTGGTGGCGCTGGAGCTGGTGGTTCTGGGGCTGCTGAGGGTGCGAGCGCTGGAGGTTCTGGAGCTGCTGGAGGTCCTGGTGCTGGTGGCGCTGGAGCTGCTGAGGGTGCTGGCGCTGAGGGTTCAGAGTCTGCTGTTGCGCGGTCTCCTTGGAGTAGCCGCCTTCGTCCACGTGTGCCTCTCACCTCGCAGCAGCTGCACGACTGGTACGGTCGCCGTCAGGGTCGCGCTGCTGGAGCCCGGGGCTCTACTGCTGGAGGTACTTCTGCTGACGTCCCTGGAGCTAGGAGTGGTGCTGGTACTTTGTCTACTGGTGGTGCTGGAGTCGCTGGTCCCGGAGGTGCTCGTACTGGAGGTACTGGAGCTGCTGGGGCTGGGGGTGCTGCGTCTGGAGGTGCTGCTGCTGGAGACACCGAGGCTGGAGACCCTGGGACTGGAGGTGCTGGTTCTGGGGGTGCTGCTGCTGGAGACGTGGAGGCTGGAGACCCTGGGACTGGAGGTGCTGGTTCTGGGGGTGCTGCTGCTGGAGGCACTGGGGTTGGAGACCCTGGGCCTGGAGGTGTCGGTTCTGCTGCTGGAGGTGCTGGAGCTGCTGGAGGTACTGGAGCTGCTGGAGCTGCCGGTACTGGTGCAGCTGCGCCGCCACGACTGTTCTTCGCTCCGCCGTCTCCGTCGTCTCTGCCGCCGCCTGACTCTGTTCTTCGTCAGGTTCTTACTCTCCCGTCGTCTACTGGTCTTCCGTTACAGCCTGGCTCACCGCTGCCTGCTCCTTCTCCTTACACTGAGCAGACAGGTAGTCTTGCTGAGCGTCGTGAGCCTGCGTCGCGTCCAGTCTCGCCTGTTCGTCCTAGTCGTACCGGTCGTCGTGTTCCTCGTCCGCGTCAGCCGGCTGTCCCCGGCACACGCCTTGTAGCCCTGCGTCGGTCCCCTACTCCGGAGCGTACTCCTCTTCCGTCTCCCCCTGCGTCCTCTTTGCCTGTCGTCGCGGACCCTGAGTCTGACCGGTTTCGTGCTGAGCACCCTACTGTCACGCGTCTGCTAGCCACTGTTGTCACTGACCCGTCGTTTGAGTCTGCTGCTGTCAGAGATCCACTGGGGATCCCCGATAATCCTAGGGAAGGGTTACAGGCATGTCGGCCTGGGGGGTTATGGGCGCACTCACCCGCTATACAAACAAGCCCTTTTATCCAAGTGGTTAGTGGCTGGGATTCTGACATGGTATCAGAGCGAAGGTCTCGGGTTCGATTCCCGGTGTGTGCACCTCGGGCATCCCAGTGCGGGGGGGTGTCAGAGGTCCACTGGGGATCCCCGATGATCCTAGGGAAGGGTTACAGGCATGTCGGCCTGGGGGGTTATGGGCGCACTCACCCGCTATACAAACAAGCCCTTTTATCCCAGTGGTTAGTGGCTGGGATTCTGACAGCTGCTGCATCTGCCTTAGTCGCTGAGCTTGTTGACTTTGCTGCTGCCTGTCGTCTAGACTACGCTGCTAGTCTTGTTGCTGAGTCTGAGTCTGTCTGTCCTCCGTCCGTCGGGGGTGAGTGTGCCCTTGGCACGGACGTCCTTGAGGACAGGCACGAGGACCTTGAGTCTCTTGCAGCCGCTGCGCCTCATCTCGTGGCCATGCTGCTTGCCCCTGAGGGAGACCCGGATGCTATAGACATTTTGACACCGCGCTCTTACGCTGAGGCGATCGCGGGTCCCTACTCTTCTCAGTGGCAGGCAGCCATGGACGCAGAGATGGCATCCTGGAAGTCCACAGGCACTTACGTCGATGAGGTTCCCCCTCCCGGGGCGAACATCGTCGATGGCATGTGGATTTTCAGGGTGAAGCGGCCGCCAGGTTCTCCGCCTGTCTTCAAGGCGCGCTACGTTGCTCGAGGCTTCAGTCAGCGAGAGGGAGTTGACTTCTTCCAGACCTTCTCTCCTACCCCGAAGATGACTACTCTTCGGGTGCTGCTGCACGTTGCCGCACAGCGTGACTACGAGCTTCACTCCCTTGACTTCAGCACAGCTTTTCTACAGGGCAGCCTGCACGAGGAGATCTGGCTGCGCCGCCCACCTGGCTTCACTGGGACGTTCCCAACTGGTACCCAGTGGAGCCTCCGCCGGCCAGTCTACGGTCTCCGCCAGGCACCCCGTGAGTGGCACGACACACTGAGGACTACCCTTGCGGCTCTTGGGTTTGCTCCTTCGACTGCTGACCCTTCACTGTTTCTACGCACCGACACTTCGCTGCCGCCGTTTTACATCCTCGTGTACGTCGACGACTTGGTCTTTGCTACTGCTGACACTGAGGCCCTCGCCCTGGTGAAGTCCGAGCTGCAGAAGAGACACACGTGCATAGACCTGGGTGAGCTGCGCAGCTACCTTGGCTTGCAGATCACCCGGGACCGAGCACGCCGCACCATCACACTGACTCAGTCACACATGGTGCAGCAGGTCCTTCAGCGCTTCGGCTTCACCTGGTCCTCAGCACAGGCCACTCCTCTGGCTATAGGTCACTCGCTCTCAGCTCTGCCTTCGGATGAGTCTGTAGAGCCGAGTGGTCCTTACCCAGAGCTAGTGGGCTGCCTCATGTACCTGATGACTTGCACTCGTCCTGACCTTGCGTACCCTCTTGGCCTTCTGGCTCGCTACGTGGCTCCTGGTCGGCACCGAAAGGTGCACTGGGATGCTGCGAAGAGGGTACTGCGCTACTTGTGCAGTACATCGGGCATGGGGCTCGTGCTTGGAGGACGGCGAGAGGTGGTCCTCACTGGGCACTCAGACGCTTCTTGGGTTGACGACCAGGCTACGCAGCGGTCGTCACAGGGTTACACTTTCAGCCTTGGCTCTGGTTCTGTTTCTTGGCGTTCTACTCGCTCGTCTTCTGTTCTCAGCTCCAGTTGTGAGGCTGAGATCTACGCCACCGCCATGGCTGCTCAGGAGTTACGCTGGCTCACCTACCTGCTGACCGACCTGGGAGAGCGGCCTCGTTCTCCTCCAGTGCTGTACGTCGACAACAAGGCTGCTATTGCCTTGTGTGAGGAGCACAGACTGGAGCACAGAACGAAGCACATCGCTCTGCGGTACTTTCTGGCTCGAGAGCTGCAGCAGCGTGGTCAGCTTCGTCTTGCACACGTGGCCACTAGGGCCAACACTGCTGATATATTCACCAAGGCACTTCCGTCTGGTGATCATCAGCGCTTTTGTACTTTGTTAGGCCTTGTGCCTACGTTTCCACACTTGCTGTAGTCTTTTGTGTGTACTGTGTTCTATATTTATACCTGCATGCTTGCTCTTGCTAGGTATTGATCACTGTACTGCTCTTGTTGCTTATATATATCTCTGCATGTGGACTGGCCTTGCGGCCCTTTGCTTGTGCTCAGAATGTGTGGTGACGTTGAGATCCACCCTGAGCTTGCTTTGCGTCTCTTGACTGGTCGTGTGACCCCTTGTTCTCCCCCACTTTGCCTATGGGGGTGTTTCAAACATGTATGCTGCATATTGTCTAGGCTGTAGTGGGGTAGCCCATATGGGGTACAACCAAATTAGGGTTTCCTACTTGTACTCCTGCATGCTGTTAGTTCATCATTCCTGCTGCCAGATTCTAACAACGAGCAACCGTCGCAGTGTATGAGCGGGATTTTTTTTTTCCGTTTTGGATTGAGCCAATCATGTGAGTTAGATCTGCTACATGGGTTGTTTGAAACAGTGTTCTACTAGCCCAACGTCGTTCTCGCTTCGCATCAACAAACTCTCGTCACACAACACTTTTTCAAGTTGGGTCAGGGTTCACTATTTTATATCTCAGTTTTAAGTGATGTGGTGCAGAGTGGTACATTGCTTTTGTGACTCATAAACCTAAGACACGTCTTCGCAGGAATGCATTTTTAAACCATTCATGCTTCACAGCTCAAGATGTTATCATATAGTCAAGGGTGGTTCTTACACTTCACCGTATTGCACACTAATAAAAATTGATCCTCAAATGTACAAGAGACTAGTTGAAAACCCCCTGAATCCACAATTTTGCGTTGGCAAAGACAGCTTTGATGAACTACACAAAAACCCTTAGCAGTGAGATGGAAACCGTAATTAGGACGTTCTAATCAATACACAAGGTACGATTTGTGATCAGTCTTCCCAATCCGCACTGCATCTCCATCTCATGTCTATTCTAGCCAGCAAACCCTTCCCTTGCCGACACAGCCTACCTCTAACAGCTGGTAGGCCCATCTGCACGAGAATATGCACGCCCCTCATCTCATCATAAGCATTTAGAAACCATGCATCTTGATGAGGTCTTTCTTCGCAATACCAGCCTGGATAAGGAACTGGGAAACGTTCTTCCGCTGGTCGCCCTGAAGCTGAATGACCTGTAATAACAAGAACCAAAACGTTAGTAAACCGGAGGATGATCCAATGAGACTCGAGGACAAACGGAATAGACAAACCGAATACCAACCTGACCAAGCTCGATGTCTTGAACGACGGTTCCGTTGCAGCAAAACTCCTGAGAGAAAAATAAATCAGAACACAAAAGCTTAGCCATCCACCTGTACATAAACATCCGATCACAATGCTCAACAAGTCTTACCTTCTTAAAATCCTTCAATATCTTGTTGTAGTTGAATTCTTTCTTTAAGCCTTGAACAGTTGTCAGGCTCTTACGACCATTCCGTTGCTGAATACGGATATGGACGTAATCCTTAGTTCCGGCTCCAGGATCATCAGCAGCATTCGCGTCAGCAAACGGGTCTGCAAGCAAGTTCAGGAACGGTCAAGACAGGGCCTACACCAGAAAGTGTTGAAGACAAGCTAAGCCGAACAACAGCAACACGCTACAACGTACCGAAGGCCCCAGGAACCTCGAGTTCTAAATCGGACATGAACGAAGGATTGAAGATGCGCCTTGGAAGCTGAAGGATGGCAAGAGGCTACGGAATCTGGATGATAACAAACCCTAGCAGGAAGTGCCTGGAGCTATACAAAGTGGCAATGATCTGACGGAAGAACTGAACGTTTCAAGGCTTTCTTGGTTCTGTCAGTGGATTTATCCAAACTTGGGTTTGGAGGGTAGAAGGGTTGAACGGTCACTTCCAGAAACAACTTTCTTTATCGCGGGCAGATCTCCGTTTCGTGCAACCAGCGATGCCGTAGAGGAGAAGTTTCGCCACGTCGGCGACCTTCGCGAAGCCCAACAACTCTTGTGAAAATACTTCTGTCGCGTCAGCATCTTCCCCACCACGTCAGGCCGCGAAGTGGTTCTTGTCAGTGCTACACGCAGACAAAATTTCAGCGTTGTACACTGAGCTGTATATAATCGCGTTGAATGGATCGATATGTGTAATACCGCACCCAGAGAATCTGGTTGAAAGCTACCAGTAGTCCTTCGTGATTTAGCTTGACAATTCATCAACTTATAGAAGGTCCAGAAGAATTGTAGACGACTTGTTCTGGTGTGCTATGAACAACTATTAGAGAATCGTTTATTGAAAGATCTGTACAGATAAGGACTGTGTCATCTGGTACTTGTCCAACATCCAACATGGCTGCCATGTACAAACATGAAGCATGCATCACAAAGGGGGGGAAGAAGGGGTTGATGACAGGAGAGGAGCAGGAGAAAGAGGAGGCCAAGGCAGGGAGTGATGAAGGGTGGGAGAGGGAGAGGGCAAGGGACCTAACCATTAGTGAACGCCAGCCAGATGATAAAAGCAACACACAACTTGCGTAAACACGCACAAAAGTGTACTCTATTAACTGCAAGACATGGTGGTCTCACCTGTGGTGGACGCGCTCTTTCCCGTGGCACGTGTGATCTTGCGCTTGGGTCCAAAATTGTCAAAATACACTTTGGCAACAATCATGAAGATTAAGAGCGCAATCTCCACGGATTGAGGGATGTAAATGACCCATAAGCCGAAATGAATAGAATAAACGAGGTAGAGAAGATGCGCGAGTGCAAAAATGAATTGCCTGCGCATTGTGAATCCACAACAAGGGAGCAAGGGAGCATTGGCATGGAAGGGAGGACAGGATAACTTGAGGACTGAAATTCGTAATCAAGGAGCTCACAAATGACATGATGATTGGCCAGACGAGGGCAATATCATGTTTCGCACGCGTGCGGCCTAATGCATCTGAATGGCATGGGGCAGACGAGAATAGTACCATAAATCCTTTCGCCAAGCAACAAAAATCGCGATGACAGCATGAAAGCATGCTCCCAATCAATAAATAGAAATAGCTCATCTCATCCGCGAGCTCACCAGGCATAGCTTATATCGGTGGCTGATTTGGTCCTAAGAACCTTGTATGTCTGAGCCGCTGTGGACAAAGGAAACATGCAGCCTCCCACGAACCCTATCACCTGATACGCGTCATCAAACACCATAATCCCGAATCACTCTCCTTCTAGACTGAATTCAAACCACGCTACATTGAGGCTTCGGCAAGCAACTAGAACAAAGCAGCTAGAAAGTCGGAGAATTGTGCGACAGCTGAACTGTGGCAACAGCTGCCTGGCCCGCCCAGGTTGGGCGTGAGGAGACATTGGCTGACGAAATTGCTGAAAGTGGTGCAGAGCGGTGAGTCGAGATCTGCACACGGTACTCAGCTTTAAACTGCGGATGCTTACGGGTGTGACTCCTAAAACAAAGCTGGCAATTTCAAAACGCGCCGATGCCGGGGATCGAACCCGGATCTTCCGCGTGACAGGCGGAGATACTGACCATTATACTACATCGACATGCTTTCAATTTGAGATTAAAATATAATAAGGTTAAATAAAACATGATCTTGTTCACCACCAACAAGGCTTTGTACACGCTACCATGATCGCTGCTGCCTTCTCACCTCCCCTTCTCCAGCCACTGTCCTCCCCTGACATTTCAGGGAGTTCAATTGGCGCATTACGTTGCGCTAGTAGGCAGGCCCACTTGTGGCAAGGGCGGGAGCGGAGAAAAGGGATTTGCCCGCGAGCCAGTGGTTCGGGTGCAGATTCCGGTACTTTTTCGTTGAATAAGTCCAAAGCCGTTTCTAGCGAAAGCGCACGATCCGTGAGAATGACAGGATCGTTGGATCCCTCTGTTCCGCCGGATTCCAAGGAGAACACCGGCAGCAGCGATAAAATGATTGTGACTCCCATAGTATCTGAGGGAATTATTCGCCTGGACGTGGACGAAGCTTCTCGGAAGGCGGCCTTTCCGTCTCTGTCATTCGCGGACCCGCCAGCCAGGGAGCAACGACTAGGAGGCGGTAATTCGGATAACGAGGAGCTCTCAATCGAGGACGTCCTTGCAGGAGTCGCTGCTTCTGTGGAATTCAGTTTGCGAAACGACCAGCAAGTGGTTACCATCCAGGTTCGTGAATTCAACCGTTTGAATGCGAAGACCAGATACATCCATGTCAATTCAACCGTTTGTTGCCTCAGTTTTGTCGTCATTCTGGTTCGCATGCGTGTGCTCACAATCACTCCCTTGCCGCCAAATCTTTATGCTCTTGTAAAATGGGATCATCCACCTTCGCATGTGTGAGCTCTTACTTGCTTCCGTGCCTCTTGAAGTCTTTTATGTTCCAATTTTACTTCATGTTTCATCACCTCTTTCTGACAGCTACCGGAGGGGTCATCTTTCTATGGAACGGGGGAGGTGGGGGGACCTCTTGAGAGGAGCAAGAAACGTGTAAGTGGGATGCTCTGGGTGATGCTGCTGCTGCTGCTCCTGATGCTCTGGCTGCAGTAGATGCTGCTTCTGCTGATGTTGCTGATGGTGGCAGTAGCTGACTGGCTGACTGGCTGACTGGCTGGCTGGCTGGCTGGCTGGCTGGCTGGCTGGCTGGCTGGCTGGCTGGCTGGCTGGCTGGCTGGCTGGCTGGCTGGCTGGCTGGCTGGCTGGCTGGCTGGCTGGCTGGCTGCTGCTGCTGATGCTTGCACTCCTTGCCTCTCTCTTCTGTTTTCCTTAATGTCTTTCCTGGAAGACGTCAGCCTAATGTTACCTCCCACCCCCTCCCACCCACCTGCGCCTATCACCAGAGCTTCACGTGGAACACGGATTGCTGGGGCTCCAACGGAATTCTACGGAATTCTACGGAATTCTACGGAATTCTACGGAATTCTACGGAATTCTACGGAATTCCACGGAATTCTACGGAATTTTACGGAATTCTTCGGAATTCTACGGAATTCTATGGAATTCTACGGAATTCTATGGAATTCTACGGAATTCTACGGAATTCTACGGAATCAAAACAATTCAAGAGTACCTCCCAACCCGTCCCCCCTGTCCCTCCTTAAATTTTCTCACTTCACCCCCCCACCCTTTTCCCACTCGCCCTTTCCACCAGATCTTCACGTGGAACACGGACTTCTGGGGCCTCAATATCAGTCTATCGAGTCAACTCTAGTCAATACGCAAAAGTGCCACCCACAAACCCCATCCCCGCCACCAGATCTTCACGTGGAACACGGACTGCTGAGGCCTCAATATCAGTCTATCGAGTCAACTCTAGTCAATACGCAAAAGTGCCACCCACAAACCCCATCCCCGCCACCAGATCTTCACGTGGAACACGGACTGCTGGGGCTTCAATTTCAGTCTATCGAGTCAACTCTAGTCAATACGCAAGAGTACCACCCACAAATCCCATCCCCGCCACCAGATCTTCACGTGGAACACGGACTGCTGGGGCTTCAACGGCAGCACGCCCTCGCTCTACATGTCCCACCCATGGGTCTTCTCCCTGCTGCCTGACGGCCGCTGCCTCGGCTTCCTGGCCGATACCACCCGGCGCTGCGAGGTGAGTAGTGCGGCATGTCACAGGCGGTGGGATCAATGGTAGTGGATGGGGGTAGGGTAGGGTAGGGTAGGCATGGCAGCAGGCAGGCAGCAAGCAGCACCCCCTCGCATCGCTCTACATGTCCCACCCATGGGTCTTCTCCCTGCTGCCTGGCGGCCGCTGCCTCGGCTTCCTGGCCGACACCACCCGGCGCTGCGAGGTGAGCAGACTGATAGGTAGGTGGATCAAGTCATGGTTCAGTTCATGTGATAGGCATGGCGGCTGGCAGCACGCCCTCGCTCTCCCCTGCTGCCTGACGGCCGCTGCCTCATGGCCGCTGCCTCGGTTTCCTTGCCGACACCACCCGGCGCTGCGAGGTGAGGGGGAGCAAGGGATGCAGGCAGCTGTGCTGTGCTGTGCTGTGATGTGCTGTGCTGTTGTAAATTGAAGCATGGATACGGATACTATGTGAGCGTTGGTGTTTTTGCGGTTTGATGGCTCTCTGATTGATTTGTTCCTGGCTAATTCGTTTCGGCTTGATGCCACGTGGGTAGACCTGTTGAAATATGCCTACACCTGCATGCATGCCTAGTATTGGGTGCAAATTGGGTTTGGCCGGTTCGGCCTACAATTATTGGGTTGGTTGGTACACCCGATTAGTGGAGTGTGGAGGACTCCCCTACTGTGATAATCCCTCTCTCTCCTTTCAGGTGGACCTAAGTGCCGCTCCGCCCTCTGCTTCACAGCGTCTGCACACGTCCCACTCACCCCCTTCGGCGTCGCCGCTTTGCACATCCTCCCTCCCTCCGCCCCTCACTCTTCACTCCACCTCTCTTTGCAGGTGGATCTTAGAGCCGCGCCCCCCTTCGCTTCACAGCATCTGCTCCCTTCCCACTCATTCTCTTCGGCCCCACCGCCTCTCCCTCTCACCTTCTGCAACTGCTGGCCAAAGCCATTGGTGAGTGTCTGATGGCGCAGGGGGTTTGTCGTCAGCGCCTCTACTAGGCACTGCAAAACTTGTGGCTTGTAGGCGCCTCTACTAGGCACTGCAAAACTTGTAGCTTGTAGGCGCCTCTACTAGGCACTGCAAAACTTGTGGCTTGTAGGCGCCTCTACTAGGCACTGCAAAACTTGTAGCTTGTAGGCACCTCTACTAGGCACTGCAAAACTTGTAGCTTGTAGGTGTGCCTTTACGAGGTGCCTCTACTTCGGATGTGCCTATAGGCTGTAGGTGTGTACGACTAAGCTCAAGTGTGCTCCTTCCCCTTCTCTGCGCTTCCCCGTTTGATTCTGGTTAAACCATCCCTCCTCCCAGGCCCCCTCCCTCTCCCTGCGCGCTGGGTGCTGGGTTACCAGCAGTGCCTCTTCAGCTACGAGTCTGCTGCCAGGGTGGAAGAGGTGAGGAGCGGTTGGGAGTGATGAGGGGTGGTGGAGTGTGGTGAGGATTGTTGAGAAATGTGTGAAAGTTGACACATGGATGAATGTGGTATGGACCCCGTCCTCAGTAAGTGGCCAGGACCTTTTGAGCGATTACGATTCCATGTATGATGTGATGTGGATGATCGTACTGCACTGCACTACACTGCACTGCACTCCACCGCACTGCACCAGACTGCATGGCATGGATACATGAATAGATTGTCAACTCTATTACGGCTACTCCCCCCCGCTCTCTTTGACCGTGTGCCTGTCTCTTGCACACAGGTGGCAAGACATTCAGGTAGAAGAAGATTCCGTGTGACGTCATGTGGATGGACATAGACTTCATGGACGGTTACGAGAGCTTCACTTTTGACCCGCTCAACTCTCCCCACTTCCCCCCTGCTACTCTTCTACTCTTTGGCTGTGTGCCTGCCCTGCTCGTGTAGACGTAGCAAGGACCTTTCGAGAAAAAAAAGATTCCGTGCGACGTCATGTGGATGGACATAGGCTACATGGACGGCAACAACAGGTTCACCTTTGACCCGCTCGCCTTCTTCGACCCTCCCCCTGTGGTGCTCTTTGCCTGTGTTCTTACCCTCCCCTTATCCCTCATAGGTCGCGAAAACCTTCAGAGAGAAGAAAATTCCGGATGTGACGGATGAGATGTGATGTGGATGGATTTAGACATAGACTACATGGATAGTTACAAGAGCTTCACCTTTGATCCTCACAACCCCTCCCACTTCCACTTTGGTACAGGTGGCGAAGACTTTCCGAGAGAAGAAGATCCCATGTGACGTGATGTGGATGGACATAGACTACATGGATGGTTACAAGAGCTTCACATTTGATCTGCTCACCTACCCCGACCCGCTTGGGCTGGCACGGTTCTTGAACGAGGCGGGCTTTAAAGGCCAAACCCCGAATTACTCAAAGCTGGTCAACTCGGTAAAACCTAAGTTCGGGAGGAGGTTTGGGGAATGGTTCGGAACAAAAGCGAAGGCAATGGTTAGCGAAAAAAAAGGGCGAAAGCAAACTGAATCGCAACACGGGACCCCAAGCAACCGCCCCAAACCCGAAAGACAACACCTTTGCTGAATTACCTACACGCCACCAAACTGTCATCACTTTTGGGCACAGCCTAAGTCACTCGACAGGCAAAACAGAAGGGTAAAACCGCAACGCTCCTGTTCCCCTCTGGTTCCACGCATAGGACGACGAAGACAGTCATGACGACGACTCCCTCACTCAACGTGAGCATTTAGGGAAAGAACATAGCTCGAAGAGCGACGTAGCATTCAAGATGGCACGCCACTTTTAGAATTGAGAGAATAGAGGTCGTTAGATATGGGAATGAGGCTGTCGGCGCCATAGTTTAGGGCTCAATGCAGGGCGCAAGTGTGCGTCCCGGGATGACGACGCGAACAATTGCGGAGATACAGTGTGATGCGATGCTTGTCCTCTGACAGTACCGAACGCATGTTAGAGGCGTTCAACCGACTATACTGTGTAAGGCGCATTAGGGAACAAGAGATGCGGCGACCGTGGCGTGTATGCGCCCTTGAGAGGGAACTTTTCGCTTTGGGAAAACGTGAGGCGAATGTGCGCGCTGGGGTCGCATGGGGAAAACGTGATGCGTTTGTGAGAGCAAGAGACGCGGAGGGAGGGCTTCGTGCATGCCAGAGCAAGAGTCGCGGAGGGAATACGTGAGGAAAGGGTGAGAGCGAAAAACGCGGAGGTAAAACGTGATGCGCTGCAGGGAAAGCAAGAAACGCGGTCGGAAAACGTGACGGGCATGTGAGCGCAGGAAAGGGGACGTGCTGAACGTATTTGCAAATGCGAGAGCAAGCTGCCCGGAGGGGGAAACGTGAGCCTGATGTGATAGCACGAAACGCGAAGGACAGCGGAGATGCGCTGACGCTATGATGAAACACGTAGAGAAAACGAGACGCGCATGTGAGAGGATGGGGGGCGGAGAGATGACGGGAGGAGCATGCGAGAGGAAGAAGGGGGCGAGGGAAACGTGAGTCGCATGCGAGATGAATAAGAGAGGGCGGAAAACGTGAGGCGGATGCGAGAGGACGTACAGAGGAGTGGAAACGTCAGGCGCAGGAGAGAGGAAGAAGAGAGGAGGGGAAACGAGAGGCGCATGACCCAGGGAGAGATGCACATGGGGAGAAACGTGACGGCCAGGGCGGGAGGAAGAAGAGAGGGGGTAGCACGAGAGGCGCATGCGAGAGGAAGAAGAGAGGGGGGTGGGGGGGGGGAACGCGAGTCGCATGCGAATGGAAGAAGATAGGAGGGGAAACGTGAAGCCCATGCGAGAGGAAGGAGAGAGGGGGGGGAACGTGAGGCGCATGCGAGAGGAAGAAGCGAAAGATTGAAGAGTGAGGCGCATGCGAGGGGAAGAAGAGATGAGGGGAAAGGTGAGGCTCATGCGAGGGGGGAAAAGAGTGGGGGGAGAAACGTGAGGCGCACGCGGGAGGAAGAAACTCTGACGGGAAACGAGAGGTAGGGTGCAAATGGAAGAAGAGAGGGGGAGAAACGCGAGTCTCGGGCGAGAGGAAGATGAGGGGAGTTGAAACGTAAGGCGCATGCGAGAGGAAGCAGGGAGGATGGGAAACGCCCGGCTGATGCGAGAGGGTGAAGAGAGGAGGGGAAACGAGAGACGCACGCGGGTGGAAGGAGAGAAGAGGGGAGCATGCGAGAGGAAGAAGAGAGGGTTTGAAAGGTGAGGCGCATGCAAGAGGAAAAACGTGATGAGAGAGGAGGGGAAACGGCGTGCACATGAGAGAGGTTGAAGAGAAAAGGGGAAGCGTGAGGCGCATGTGAGATGAAGAAGCGGAGAAGGGAAACGTCACGGCCATGCGAGAGGAAGAAGAGGATGGAGAAAAAACGTAATGCGGATGCGAGAGGTAGAAGAGAGTGGGGGAAACGTGAGGATTATGCGATAGGAAGGGGAAACAAGAGGCCCATGTGATAGGCAGGGGAAACGTGAGGCCCATGCGATAGGAAGAAGAGAGGACGGGAAACGTGAAAACCCCCCTGCTCTCTTCAAATGCACCTTCTCTCTCCTCCTTCCCCCCTGCTCTCTTCAGTTCCCTCCCGCTCACTTCAGATTCCCCCCTCCTCAGGTGCTGGTTCCCCCTTGAACAATTCCCCTTGCTGTCTTCAGTGTACCCCCAGCTTTCTTCATATTCACCCTACTTTCCTCATCTCCCACATGCTTTCTTAATCTTCCCCCTGCCTTCTTCGTCTCCCCCCTGCTTTCATCATCTCCCCACTGCTTTCATCAGTTTCCCCCCTGCTTTCTTCATCTTGCCCCTCCTTTCTTCATCTTCCCCCTGCTTTCATCATCTTCTTACTGCTTTATTCAGTTGCCCCTCTGCTCTCGTCATTTCCCCCCTGCTTTCTTCAATTTCCCCCCTGCTTTCTTCATCTCCCCCTGCTTTTTGCATCTTCCCCCCTGCTTTCTTCATCGTCACCCTGCTTTTGTCTATGTCCCCTCTGCTTTCTTCATCTTCCCCCTACTTTCTTCAGTTTCCCCCCTGCTCTCTTCACCTCGCATTTGCTTTCGTCATCTTCCCCCTGCTTTCTTCATATTCCCCCTGCTTTCCTCGTCTCTTCCCTGCTTTCTTCAGTTTCCCCCCTGCTTTCTGCATCCCCCCCCTGCTTTCTTCATATTCCCCCTGCTTTCTTCAACTCCCCCCTGCTGTTCATCCTCTCCCCCCTGCTTTCTTCATCTCCCCCTTGCTTTCTTCATATACACCCCTGCTTTCTTCAACCCCCCCCCCTGCTTTCTTCAGTTTCCCCCCAGTTCTCACTGCTGCTTTCTTCATCTCCCCCCTGCTTTCTTCATACTCCCCCTGCAGACTTTATCTCCCTGCTGCTTTCCACGTCCCCCCCCTGCTTTCTTCATCTCCCCTCTGCTTTCCTCATCTCCCCCCTGTTTGTTTCAGTTTCCCCCCTGCTTTCTTCATCTTCCCCATGCTTTCTTCATCTTCCCCCTTCTTTCGTCATCTTCCCCCCTGCTCACTGCAGTTTTCCCCCTGCTCACTGCAGTTTTCCCCCTGCTCACTGCAGTTTCCCCCCTGCTCACTGCAGTTTTCCCCCTGCTCACTGCAGCTTACCCCCCGCTCTCTTCCATTTTCCCCTGCTCGCTTCAGTTTCCCCCTTGCTCCCTGCTCTCTCCTCGTTCCCTTCAATCGTGCTCCACCCTCCTCCCAATCCAGCTCCCCCCTGCTTTCCTCCCAATCCAGCTTTCTTGTGTTCCCCCCAAACCAGCTCCACTGTGCTCCTCTTATGCCAACTCTCCTGTGCTCCTCCCAATCCAGCTCTCCTGTGCTCCTCCCAATCCGGCTCCCCTGTATTCCTCCCAATCCAACTCCCCTGTGCTCCTCCCAATCCAACTCCCCTATGTCATGTCCGGGACCTTATGGTGGAGTAGCATGGGGGGTCATGCATCCGGTGGCAACCCCGGAACCATCTCTGATCTGGCAGCCCCCTAACACCTTGTAAGCAAGACTTAATAACTCTCTCTCTCTCACCCCGGTCAACATGGCTTGGTAATGGCTTGGCATTGTGTATCAATATAGCAACTCTAACTCCCTCATGTCCTCCCAACAATGCAATTTTCTACTGTATCCATGCCGTGATTCAATCCCTATGTCATATACACTTTCCCCCTCTCAATGACCAAATATTGTATGCATTGAATGAGCGATGAAACCAGGACGGATGGCGGACCCAACGCCATCAGAGCTTTGCCGATTGTATGACCAACGTCAACATAGTGTCCATTGGCAACTCAAAGCCCCTGTTTGTTTCCTTCGCGTGGGGCTAACTACTCTTTTGCCGAGTACGGAAAAGGCCGCCTCATTCAATGATCTTCTTGCGCTCTACATGTTGGCAGCACCCCATGTAACAGAGCGTTTGGTACGAGCTGCACAGGATGCAGGTAAATATGTGGCATCTGCACAATATCGTCGTGGCTGTTGTAGAATGCACATATTTGAAATAAAGGTGTCCAACACTGATTGTCCTTTTTATCGTGCAGGAACCGGCGGAGTAGACGCTGGCAAGGTCGTGCAAATGCACCTTGACGCTATGTCAAGTGCCTTTTGGACACGGATGGGGGATGGTGTGATGACGGTGGAGAATTTACTAGCCCGTAATGATAGCACATTGGAAGGGGTGGAATTTGACTTTCCAAAGTGGGAAAAAACCAAAAAGGGAGGTATTCGGAGAGTTGTTGGAAACGGTAGCGACGGTTCACGTAACCAAGCAGAGCCAACCGTCCATCCAACAGAAGGTGCGCTGGTTGTTTTGACATGCATTATGGTAATGCAGATGATGTGAAGGTGGACCGTGGCATTAACATGTACGTGGATTCTTTGCTATTGTGTGCCCACGCAGAGGAGGATGACTCTTCCATGCCTTGCGACAACAGGCCACCACATTTGACTCCGTGCACCACGAGCGTTGTGGACAGTGAGGGAGCTGATCGGGTGCGTCTTGATGTGGGCGGTGGAGCGGGCGATGGCAATGCGTCAGAACAGGGATGTCCAACGTTGGATCCGAACAGGTATGAATAAGTATTACCTGTGCGAGTCTCTAGCGTGAATATTCATCAAGGTTCTACCATGAACATGCCTCCATTCTCCCGTGTTACAGACCAATGGCACAACAAATGTGTCGGAAGCGTCCACGAGGGTGGCAATATCCACCAAACCGGGATAACTTTCCGGCTGACATGGTTTGCTTTCTCGACCCAAGGTCGATGGTGTCGTTTTTTCGTGATCGGGCATTGGCGTGTTGTGTGAAGTCCAATTGCAAAGGTCGCCTGCAGTTAGAGTCGTGGAAGCGATCGTGGGCATGCTTGGGGCTTTTGTGGAGGTGCGATGTTTGTTCAGCAAGGGAGGAGTTCTGGTCAAGTAGTCGTGTCAGGGATGATTTGCCGCCTAGCAAGCGTGGTCCCCGTAGCCCGCCTATGATGGCAAAGCTTATTGGTGCATTCGCGCTTGCTGGGTCAGGCTATCAGCACATGTGGTGTCAGAATATTATGCTCTAGCCTGTAGTGGGGTGCTCTGTAGCGAGTACAACCCTTCTAGGGTTTGCTATTTGTATCCCCATTCTTGCTAGTTCAGTCCTCTTTTGCCTTCATTCTCTCATGCCTAGCTAGGTCAACCCTAGCTATGGCTCCTCAGTATACCTACTATCACGACATGGTATCAGAGCTTAACGTTCCTGGCCTGTGGGCCCACTTCACTGCTTCCGCTGCTACTGCTACTCCCTGTCCGCCGCGCGCCCCGTGGTGCGCGGCGTCGAAACTAGGGTTTTCAGCCCGCCGTGCGCCCCGAGGCGCGCGGCGGTTTTCTGCCCGCCGTGCGCCCCGAGGCGCGCGGCGGTTCTCTGCCCGCCGTGTGCCCCGAGGCGCGCGACGGGTTCCTGCCCCGTCACTCGGCACGTCGCCCCCGGGAGGCGCTGCGACGGGCGACGGGGACCCGCGCGTCGCCCCCCGTCGCCCGTCGTGGCCTGCACGCGGCCCGTACACCCGGCACGCGGCCCGTACGGGCTGCGCCAGGCCCGCGCGCGGCCCGTACGGGCTGCGCCAGGCACGCGCGCGGCCCGTACGGGCTGCGCCAGGCCCGCGCGCGGCTCGGACCGCCTGCGCGCGGTTCGGGAGGCGGTGCCAGGCCCGTGGGCGGCCCGTTCTTCGCTTCCCCTGTCCTCCCCGCTGTCCCCCGTGCTTCTGAAGGCGCCCCACCCCTCCTTCTGCCCGTTCTCCTGGATTAGGGTTTGGGGTGGGGGGTATGGGGGTGCAGCTTCAGTGTGCCGTTCCCTGCTCCTCCTCCTCCCTCGTCTCCCTCTGCTACAGCTGCCGCTGAGGGGGGTGGTGTGTGGGAGCCTAGGGTTTGGGGTTTAAGGGGGGTGCCGTGGGAGTGGAGCTAGGGTTCAGCAGGGGGTGTGTGTCGAGGGGTGTGTGGGGCAGTTGGAGGAGGTTGAGCGGAGGTTGCCGTCGTGTCGTCCGCAGCACCTGTATTCCGGGGCCTTTCTCCTCCCGGTAGCTCAGAGAGCCGGTTGCACCTGTCGCCCGTGGGTCCGTTGCTACTGTCGCTGGCTGATCAGTTGCAGAGCCTGTTACTCCTGTATTCCGGGGCCTTTCTCCTCCCGGTAGCCACCAGCGTTGCACCAGAGCCGTCTGTTGCCCGAGTGTCTGCAGCTTCAGTCGTCGCCTCCACTCTTCTCTCATCTCACCAGCCCTCCTCCTCCTCGCTTGCCCTCTGTGACAGCTTTAGCTTTACCCATAATTGTGAACCTTAAACTATTGCTTCTTGCTTGTGCTCAGAATGAGTGGTGACATCGTGATCCACCCTGAGCTTGTACTGCTTTGTTTCCTCTGCTGATTACACCCCACTTTGGCTATGGGGGTGTGTCAGAATATTATGCTCTAGCCTGTAGTGGGGTGCTCTGTAGCGAGTACAACCCTTCTAGGGTTTGCTATTTGTATCCCCATTCTTGCTAGTTCAGTCCTCTTTTGCCTTCATTCTCTCATGCCTAGCTAGGTCAACCCTAGCTATGGCTCCTCAGTATACCTACTATCACGACATGTGGGAGGTGTGTCGCACACTTGGTGTCCCTAGGCCGGGTCATGGAACCTTTTACAGATGCTTAGATGGAGAAAATGGTCTGTGGAGTGTGATCATCAACCAGGCGAAGGTGAATATGGAGGGGGTGCGCGCGAGCATGGCATTGCGTTCTGATCCTGCCCATATTTTAAGCGTGGACGGGAGGTGGTCACAGGTGCGTGAGGCAAAGCATTGCACGGTTTCCTTCATGGATCCGGTGTCTCGTAAAGTTGCGTTTTATAAAAACACACACAGGGACGTAGATGACGACACATCTGTCAAGCTCGAACGAGTGGGGTTTGATCAGGGTATGGACGAGCTAAGAGAGATTGGGTTTGGTGTGGCTGGTATCGTCACCGATGGAGGTAGCAGTTTCAAGACTGCTGTTCGGGAGAGGGGACTGAAACATCAAGAGGATTGGTGGCATAAATGTGGTACCCTGGTGCGTAGTTTCAAGACGGATGTTCAGGATGCAACAAGGAAGGCAGGTGAAGTTGGGGCGGCAACTTCGTGCGAGGATCTTTACTTGATCACAATCAATAAACTGCTAGGGTGGTTGCGGGAGCACCCACGCCCGGGAACGACGTTTGGACGGGGCAGTGGAAAGAAGGCGTTGGTGGAGGCAGTGTGTGCTGCACGGGGTTTGGAGTTCAAGGATATGGACCCTGCAGATGCCAAATGGTTGCACCTGGAACTGCAGCAAGTGCTCCAGACAGAGGTTGGGCAGCCGACAGTGCGAGCAAGCACAGAGGTGGTGGAAGAAGCAGAACCGGGGGTGACAGTGGGACATGGGCCACGTGACGGGAGTGAAGGTCCGAACGGTGACGGTCTTAATGGCGGGGTTGGAGCCGTCGAAGTACAGTGGCCGGACGTGGACGAAATGTGGGGCTGGGATGCGCATCCGGAACATGGGATACGACCATCATCGCATGCATCGATGGTGCTCGTGCAGGCATGGAGAGGTTTAGAGCACAACACTGCTTCACTGTATGACGGCACTGTTGGGCAAGGTAAAGTGGCCTGCTTTCTTCATCTCCCCCTACATTCTTCGTCACTCCACCCTGCTTTCTTCATCTCCCCCCTGCTTCTTTCAGTTTCCCCCCTGTTTTCTTCATCTCATCCCTGCTTTCTTCATCTCACCCCTGCTTTCTTCATATTCCCCCACCTTTCTTAAATAAACCCCCCTCCCCTCATCATCTCACCCCTGCTTTCTACATATCCCCCCTGTTTTCTTCAGTTTCTCCCCCGCTTTCTTCATCTCCCCCCTGCTTTCTTCAGTTTCCCCCCATATTTCTTCATCTCCCCCCCGCTTTCTTCATATCCCCCCTGCTTTCTTCATCTCCCCTGTTTTCTTCATCTCCCCCCTGCTTTCTTCAGTTTCCCCCCATACCTCTTCATCTCCCCCTGCTTTCTTCAGATCCCCCCTGCTTTCTTTATCTCCCCTTGCTTTCTTCATCTCCCCTCTGCTTTCTTCATCTTCCACCCTGCTTTCTTAGTTTTGCGTTTTGAAATCTCTTGTGATATTGGTATTATTTTGTGCAGACGAACAAGAGAATGTTCCAGCTTCTGGAGGCGCGGCTGGGATTGCGACCGAGGGTGGCATGGATAATGATGCAGCAGAACAGAGACCAAGGAGATGGGGACGACGAGCGCCACGCAGACGGACTCGGCAAGGGGATGGCGGAGGGGCTGGCAGCGAGAGTGAAAGCGGTTACTGTTGCGGATCGGCTCGGTGTGCACTTCTACCACTGCATGGTTCGGAACGGGGTGTGCGCTCGGGACGGGCACACTCGCACACCCCAGGAAGTGTCAGAGGAGTTGTGTCTAGGACCAGACCATTGGGCTGGGCTTCATTCGCGATGCTGGAGGAGCGGAATGCGTGCACCAAGATGTGTGACAGAAAATTGGGGTGAAGAGAGTGCGGTGTACCAGCCCAATTCAAAGACCCATCTAGCGGTGAGAGAGTGGTTTCAAAGACACTTCAGTCCAGATAAAGTTGCGTGCATTGTGGAGGGCGCAACCAGCTCAATGAACGAGTCGTTTCATTCTCTCATCCTGAAGTATGCCCCTAAACGTATACGGTTCAAAGGAAGTTACGATGCGCGCATAGCCATGTCTGCGCTGCATTGGAACAACACCATGGATCGCGTTGTACGGGCATATATCACTCGAGAGAGGCGTACAACACGAGTGAGACGTGGTCGGAGGGATAGGGTACTTGGTCCAATGGATTGGACTTGGGCGGATGATATTTTGAGAGAGTGGCGGCGACCGTTTATTGATTTATCCGAGCCCGTTGGATTGTCCCCTGACGCGAGTGACACTGTGGCCCCTCGGGAGAGTGTGGGGCTTGTTCCACCACGAGGCACTTCGTCTACCGACCCCGATGCATCACCCGGATTCTCCCATGGTTCTGGAGTTGGACAGTCGCGAACACCAATCATATCTCAGCCCGTGCACCGTACGACACGCGACGAGGGGCGTGGGGCACGGCGCAGTTTACTCAGTACGTATGCTAAATTGGCATAATAGCCACTAGTTTTCGAGTTTTGGTTCACGAGTCTTGCAAGTTCACGGTGAGTAAGTGATTGCACGCATGTCATTCTTATGCATCTATTCGTTTTTTCGGTCGGTGGTATGTGTCTAGGTGACATGGGGTCCGGCTGATCGAGTGGATGATGTGTCAGAAGTGGTTCGAGGAGTTGCAAATTTTCAATGGTGAATGTGTTCACTCCTATCCACCTGGTATGACCATGATAAGCCCATATCCCTTGTGTGTCTCGAAAATGATATTCATTCATAGTCACTTTTATGAGGCCCCCTGCGTAATACCAGGTGCTATCCAACATCCCCCCCCCGTTTGCTCTTTGCTAACCCTCTCCGCTTGCTCCCCATAATCTTCCGCTGGCCCCCCTGTCCCCCCTAGTGAGCAATTGATCGACCTTGTCCAAGCTCGACACACCCCTCCAAAGCGAGGTGCGGCTAGTGCAGTGAAGGGGGGGACGGCCGGCGGAGCGAAGGGGGTGTCAGATGGGGCGGCGAGAGGGGCAGGGGGCGTAAGGGGGTGCGGAGCAGAGCGAGGTGGGTTCAGAGTGGGACCGGCGGAGGCTTCAACCCCTGCACATGGTACGAGCGCACCTTGGCCAGCAACGGTCATGTGGCCATTCTCCACCTGCAGGCACAACCCTTCGACCTCGTGCTCATGGACGTGCGAACCTGCAGGTGGGGGCACGAACGCGTGCATGCTTGTGCCGTGCTCATGCGTGCTTATGCGTATCACGGAGTGTTTGCACGCTCGTATGCATGCATGGCTCAACGCCCATTCCCTCAAGCTGCCCTCCTGCAGATGCCAATGCTCAACCACGTAGAAGCCAACACTAGATAGGCATTGCATGCCTGCACACTTGCCTCCCCTCGCCTCCCCTCCCGTCCTCTCTCTCCCCTCGCCCGCTCGCCAGATGCCGGAGCTTGACGGCATTGAAGCCACGGGGCTCATCGTGGCACACTGGCCTGTGTGGCGCCCAGCCTGCCAGCGTCCGCGTGCATGACACCTCGCTAGCTATCCTGGCGTACGGCACCGAGTACCGACACCTTGACCTTTTCCACCACATCCTCACGAGCCCGCAGGGCGCCCTGCTCGGTACGTCACTGCGGCCTCGCCCTCGCATCCCCTCCTATTTCGGCCTCTCGGCATCCGTGATGTTGATGTTATGCCCGTGTGCGTCCACCGCTGAACTCACACCTTGCCCGTGTGGCACCCCTCATCCTCATCCCCGTTCCGCTGTCCCTGCTTGCGCTGCTCTCCCCTCAGTGCCGCTGACGCTACACAAGGAACTTCAACACTGGCAGCAGCAACTTCAAACAGTAGCAGTACCAGCATGAGCACCAGTAGCAGCATCAGCAGTGTTAGCATCATCATCATTAGCAGCAGCAGCAGGGAATGGTGAGGTGCGGGCAAAGGAGGCAGTGCATGCTAAGATCAGGCTGGGGGACTGGCTGCCAGCGAGGCTGCTGCAGCTGCCGTCACTTATGTGGAAAGATGGACTTGTGCATACAATGGAAAACAGATCCAGCAGTTCACTTGTGTCACTTGTTTTGGAAAGATGGACTTGTGGCCAGCTTGTGCATACAGTGGAAAACAGATCCAGCACCTTCATCTCCTGGGAGGGCACGAGTGAGACGTGGAAAACAGCTTACCGGTAGTACGAGAGGTCTATGGTTAGCCTCGATGAGTTTGCCAGGCTGGTCCCTCAAAGCGGAGCTAACAGACAGTTTTTTTTCGTGGTTGATTAAATACCTGGGCCAGCTGCTTAATGAAAATGACTGGGTCCAACTGTCAATTGACAGACTGAAACATTCTAGTTTACAACATTGCCTGGGAACGTCGCGTTACATCTCAGCTAATCAATCTAGGAGCTGGGTGTGAAGTGTAATCCTTTAATAGTTGGAGCATGGAGCTGCTGCCAACCCTCATCACGCGCCCCTTGCCAAACGACAGCGTCTTGTTGCTGCTGCTGTCCGCCGCAAAGGCCGTGGGGCGCGCGTTGCTCCTGCCCCTGTTTAGCCCCTAGAAGCTCCGGAGCGACGCGATGATGCACCGCGGCGCCAGGTACTCGTCGGGCGCCAGCGGCAGCCCAGCGCGGTGCGCATGGCGGTGAGCAGCTAGGGGAAGCTCTCGAGGGCGTCGAGCTGGTCGTCCAGCAGCAGCAGGTACACCTCCACCTCCGTCTTCGCCTGCTGGTGGGGGGGAGGGAGAAGGGGGGGGTGGGGGTGTTCAAGGGGGGGTAGGACATTGGAATGGGGCAACGAGGGCAACAGTGTGATGGCGTGCGAGAACCCGCCAGACTCGTATGCCATAGTTGTGCCACATTCCTGGCGCTTCTCGCACCTCCACTGATCTTCCCCCCCAAGCAAACGGAATTACCATCCCCTCCAACTCAGCACCTGCCATGGGAAGAGATGCTGCTGCGATATGAGGTGCAAGGAGTAGTACACGGAGTAGTGTGCGAAGGCTGCGAGGAGTTGAATTGATGTTGAAAAGGACAAAACGGAGGGAGCGCCAGGAGGGATGCGAGATGAAGCACCGAGGGCAAAGGGGGGGCAGGGCAGAGGGGAAATAAGCAGGGAATGGTGCAGTGCTGTGGAGCAAGGTGCGGTTCACAAAGAAGCGAAGCATCCACCCATCCCCCCTTCCACACCCTGCCATTATGCAGCATAACTGATAACAGTAGCAAGTACTCACACACACATAGACACCCTCACATACCCACACACACATACCAATGCAGGTAAATCATGATGTCTATGAGCGCCAGCCCCTTCACCTGCAAAATGCCTGCCTTGCGCGGTGGGGGGAAGGGATGCAGGTGCGGAGAGAAAGAGGCAGGTGGGGAAAGAAAGGGGCAGGTGGGGAGAGAAAGAGGCAGGTGGGGAGAGAAAGAGGCAGGTGGGGAAAGAAAGGGGCAGGTGGGGAGAGAAAGAGGCAGGTGGGGAGAGAAAGAGGCAGGTGGGGAGAGAAAGAGGCAGGTGGGGAGAGAAAGAGGCAGGTGGGGAGAGAAAGAGGCAGATGGGGAGAGAAAGAGGCAGGTGGGGAGAGAAAGAGGCAGGTGGGGAGAGAAAGAGGCAGGTGGGGAGAGAAAGAGGCAGGCGGGCAGGGGGGGAGGTCTTTGGGGAACGAAGGATGCAGGAGGGGGAGGAAGGCAGGCGGGGAGAGAGGGAGCAAGGAGGAGTTGTCACGTTCGGGCCTCGTGGCTCGTGAGGCTGTAAACAAAGGGGAAACGAGGACATCATGCAGTTGTGACTGGACTTGACACATGCTGCACTGTCTTGCCTGTGTTTCGTTTCGAGTTGCAGGGCGGTCTTGCAGGGTTCATTGAACAGCCAGTGCGAGATGGGCTGAACGTCCTTGGCATGGGGCTGCCTGTGCTGGCATCAACAGCATGATCTGTCATGGTCGTGGGCTTCGACATGTGCGTGGACTGAGGGGGGCGTGTGGAGACAGCGAGGAAAGGGGTGAAGGGAGAGGGGAACGGGAAGGAAGGGTTTAGGGTGCAGGTGCTGTGATGGTGTGTACTGTCTCCAATGCTATGATGGCTGGGCACGACATGTGTTTGGACTGGCAGAGAGAGTGTGCGTGAGGGAGAGAGGGGCTATTGTGTTGGGTGGCAGCACGTGGTGCATGTGAGGAGGAGGTGAGCCGTACCGACAGCACGTGGCGCAGACGCATGAAAGTGATCAGCGCGGGAGATCCCAACTACGGTGTTGTTGTTAATAGGAGAGGCGGCACCTGGGGGAGGTGATACCGGGGGGAGGTGGTACATGGGAGATGTGGTACCACTCACCTTCCACTCTTCGCACATTCGGCGCTCTCCCCCTCCTCTTTGTACCATCCCCTCCAACCTAACACCAAGTAGATGGCGGATGAGATGCTGCTGAGATCTGAGGAGTAGTGGGTAGTACACGGAGGAGTGTGCGACGGGTGCCAGGAGGTTGGAGTGTTTTCCACGAGATTGCTGGAGGACAAAGAGGAGGGAGCAGCAGGAGGGATGCGAGACGAAGCACTAAGGGGAAGGGGAGGTAGTGGAGGGGGAAGAGGTAGGGAATGGTGCAGGGAGGCAGATCGCTAGTGCATGTTCCTAAGTAGCGAAGCATCCCCGCACCTTGACATGCCCCCACCATGTGCACTAGACTGTGGAGGGGAAGGGGGGAAGCAGAGGGGGAATAGACTCTGTCCTGAACGCAGCGGGGTGAGGGTAAGTAGCGGGGCGGGAATAGATGGGCAGCAGGAAGGGCGAGGAGCGCACTGGCAGAAGTGGCAGCAGACGGGAGAGCAAAGTGGGGTGGCGGACGAGGAGACCCTGCAGGGATGCAGCAAGCATGGCAGTGCGGGCAAGCAAGGCAGCGAGATTAAGCAAACAAGCAGGCACATGGAAAAGCATGCACATGGACAAGAGTGGGCATAGACATGCACACTCATAAACATGCATGCAGATAGACATTCATGCGCATAGACATGCATGCACATAGATGTGCATGCACATAGATATGCCTGCAAATAGCAGAGCCTGCACGTGGACATGCATGCACATAGACATGCACACACCCACCCACCCACCCACCCACCCACCCACCCAGGCACTCACCCACCCACGCACCCACCCATCCACGCACCGGCCATCAATGGATAGAAGCTGACGGTGGTGTGCGGTGTAGTAGCCAGCGTAACAGGGCGATGTGCGCGCCACAGAGGTGCCACAGAAGCGCAGCGACCGATGCCATGCTAAGTGGGCGCGCGCCTGGTGGCGGGGAGGGGGATGGGGAGGTTGATGGGAGGGGATGCAGATAGAAGGAGGTGGGGGGAGTGCATTGGCCTGAATAGACTGTGGCGGGAGGGGGACATAAGGGCATGAAATGTCGGGGATGAGCAAAGTGGGGTGGCGGGCGAGGCGACACTGCAGGGACGCAGGGAAGGGGACATGGGAAGCAGGGAAGGAAAGGGGGGGAAGCAGAAAATCTGATGGGGGGAAGCAGGGCTTGGGATAAGGAGAAACAATGAAGAGGATGGGGGGGACGCAGGGAGGGGGATGGGGGGAAGCAGGGATGAGGATGGGGGGAAGCAGAGAGGGGGATGGGGGGAAGCAAGGCAGGTGATGGGAGGAAGCAGGGAAGAGGATGGGGGGAAGAAGGGAAGGGGACAGGGGGAAGCAGGGAAGGGGATGGGGGGAAGCAGCAGGGCAGGGGATGGGGGGAAGCAGGGCAGGGGATGGGGGGAAGCCGGGAGGGGGATGGGGGGAAGCAGGGAAGGGGACATGGGGAAGTAGGGACCCGGAGGGGGGGAAGCAGAAATGCGGATGGGGGGAAGCAGGGCTTGGGATAAGGGGAAAGAATGAAGAGGATGGGGGGAAGCAGGGCAGGGGATGGGGGAAAGCAGGGAAGGGGATGGGGGAAAGCAGGGAACGGGATGGGGAGAAGCAGGGAGTGGGGTGGGGGGAAGCAGGGAAGAGGATGGGGGAAGCAGGGAAGGGGATGGAGTGAAGCAGGGAAGAGGATGGGGGGAAGCAGGGCACGGGATGGGCGGAAACAGGGAAGGGGATGGGGAAAAGCAGGGAAGTGGGGGAACTGAGGCGATTATTGGAGGGTGGGAAAAGAGGGAGTAGGGGGAGAATACGCAGGGTGACACGTGTGCGAGATGGGAAGGGAGGCGGGAGGGAAGGCGGGGGCGACGAGCAGTGGATGGCAGGGCGACGGGGAAAGCGAGGGCGACGGGCAGAGAATTGACGGGGAAGCGAGGGCGACGGGGAGCGAGGGAGACAGAAATTGCGAGGGAGACGCGGAGAGAGGGAGACAGGGAGAGCGAGGGGACGAGCGGAAGGGAGGGCGACGTGAAGAACGGACGGCGACGGGAAGAAGCGCGGGCGAGGGGAAGACCGTGGCGACGGGAAGGGAAGGCGACGGGAAGGGAAGGCGACGGGAAGGGAGGTCGAAGGGAAGGGAGGCCAAGGGGAAGGGAGGGCGACGGGAAGGGAACGCGACGGGAAGGGAGAGCGACGGGAAGGGAGAGCGACGGGTGGGGAGAGCGACGGGGGGGGAGAGCGACGGGAAGGGAGAGCGGCGGGAAGGGAGGGCGACGGGAACAAGGGAGGGCAACGGGCGGATCCCCGCGTGTTCCCCCCCACTCCCCCATCCTCTCCGTCGCGCTCCCCCGCGTCGTCCCCCGCCCAGTGCCTTTCTCCGCGGCTCATCCCTGCGCGAAGCACCCGCGCGGAATCGCGTGCGCGACACGCCTTCGCGTTGCGCAGATCCTCCGACGACGACAAGACGTACCCACTCATATCGTCGTCCTCGTTACATGCCTCCGCGTTACTAGCACTTTCCGCAATGGAGGCGGGAAGGCGTATCTGGGGATTTCTACGCGCGTGACGAATCGGTGGATGGCGAACCGTGCGAAGATGTGATAGTTGCTAATGACATAGGTCCGAGGTGTTCGCGAAGAGATGTGCGGCGGAAAGGCGCGGAATGAGAGTCACGGCTATCGCGCGACGATGGCGGAAGCCGTTCGGGACGCAGGGCGTTCGGAGCAGGTTTCAAAGATTGCGCGCTTTCCTCACATCGGTGAAGAGACGTGTCGGGAAAAGCAGGGGCGCATGAGATAAAACTGGGCGTGATCTGGAAACCCGAATTACCATCACGTAGGCAGTGCATTCTTTTCTAAGTCATGTGCTGCAAGAGTCCCTCTGAGCTTGTCGAAACTCGCACCCTGAACAAGTGTGGTAACCAAGCAGGTGCGGAACCCTAAACGTGGTTCGGAAAGGCTGGTGCGGGAGGCACAGTGTCACCACTTTGCTTTTGACTTTGTAATTCGGGCTTTGGGCTTTAAGGCCATCTGGATGCTGGACCCGGGGATCAAGGAGCAGCAGGGGTACGGCCCGGTGGAGTCCGGTGATGCGGCTGATGTGTGGATCCTCAATGCAGAGGGCAAGGCGTTCGTTGGTGAGTGAGGCCCTGTGGAGTGGATGGGTGTGCTGCCTGCTGAGGGAGGGTGCACTGTGGGGCATGAAACTGCTGAGTGCCATTAATGAGCAGCAGGGGTACGGCCCGGTGGAGTCCGGTGATGCGGCTGATGTGTGGATCCTCAATGCAGAGGGCAAGGCGTTCGTTGGTGAGTGAGGCCCTGTGGAGTGGATGGGTGTGCTGCCTGCAGAGGGAGGGTGCACTGTGGGGCATGAAACTGCTGAGTGCCATTAAGGAGCAGCAGGGGTACGGCCCGGTGGAGTCCGGTGATGCGGCTGATGTGTGGATCCTCAATGCAGAGGGCAAGGCGTTCGTTGGTGAGTGAGGCCCTGTGGAGTGGATGGGTGTGCTGCCTGCTGAGGGAGGGTGCACTGTGGGGCATGAAACTGCTGAGTGCCATTAATGAGCAGCAGGGGTACGGCCCGGTGGAGTCCGGTGATGCGGCTGATGTGTGGATCCTCAATGCACAGGGCAAGGCGTTCGTTGGTGAGTGAGGCCCTGTGGAGTGGATGGGTGTGCTGCCTGCTGAGGGAGGATGCACTGTGGGGCATGAAACTGCTGAGTGTCATTAATGAGCAGCAGGGGTACGGCCCGGTGGAGTCCGGTGATGCGGCTGATCGAGGATTTTCAATGCAGAGGGCAAGCCGTTTGCAGGTGAGTGAGTGGGTGTGACCCTGTGGTTGGGTGTGTTGTCTGTCTGTTGAGCATGGGACTGCTGAGTGCCGCCGTCAAGCAGCAGCAGGGGTACGCGCCGGTGTAGGTTTGAGTCGACTCAAAACGTGAGTGGGTGTGGCCCTGAGGATGGGTGTGTTGGTTGTCTGAGGTGCCCTGTTGAGCATGGATGGAACTGCTGAGTGCCGTCAAGCAGCAGCAGGGGTACGCGCCGGTGGAGTCCGGTGACGCGCGTCGCCGGATGTGTGGATGCTCAACACACTGCACTGCACACAGGTGACGTGTGGCCTGGCCCCTGCAAGTTCCCCGACTACATGATGCAGCGAGCCAGGGAGTGGTGGAGAGGCAATGATACACGGGCAAAAAACCTCAGAAAAACACTTGCAATTCCCCCCTTTCATTTCATGGGGCACTGCACTGTTCCACAGGTGATGTGTGGCCTACCCCTTCATGCAGCGAGGAAAGGAGTGGTGTCCAGAGATTCAGACATGGTTAGGAATTCTCACAATGCCGTTTTCTTCCCCCACTTTCAGTTGACGTGTGGCCCGGCCCCTGCAAGTTCCCCGACTACACAATGCAGCGAGCAAGGGAGTGGTGGCGAGACATGGTGGCAGATTTCGCAAAGGAGGGAGTGGACGGCATTTGGAACGACATGAACGAACCCACTGTGTTCCGGGTGAGTAGGTTGGTTCCCGAGCTGGATTGGGGGAGGACTCGTGGGGCATTTGGGGGTACATCACTGTGTGAATGGGGACGGGGGGTTGATGGCGTCTAGATTAACATGAACAAGCCCACCGTGTTCCGGGTGAGTGAGTGAGTGAGTGAGTGGATGGGAGAGACATGAGGCAGAATGAACCACTGTGTTCAGGTGAGTGGACTGGGGGGGAGTGCATGCTAGGAATGCATCTCTCTGTCTACCTGAGTCTGCGTCTGAGTCTCTCTGTCACCCCTCCCATGCCAGGCCGTGCGGTGAACAAGACGATGCGAGACGACAGCATTTACAGGGGGGACGACGACAAGCGTCTGTGCTAGTAGTGGCTTTTGACATTATTCACTTCCTTTCTCCATATCTTCTCCCTTTTCCACACCAGGCTGTGAATAAGACGATGCCAGACGACAACATTCACAGGGGGGATGATGATGACATGATGTAGATGTTGGGAGTGACATCACACTCCCAGCATCACACTCACCTCCATTCACCTCCCTCCTCTCCTCTTTTACAGGCTGTCAACAAGACCATGCCAGACGACAACATTCACCGGGGGGATGACCACATGGGTGGCACCCAGAATCACCTGCACTATCACAATGTAAGTCTACAAGGTTACAAAGTTCCAATGTTTCAATGTTATGATGCTAGGAAGTAATGAAGCAGCACTGCTAGTTTTCCTGCGCCTCGGTCTCTCTCATCTCCCCTCTTTTTCTCTCCGTCCCCCTGTGTGTGTACAGTATATGCCTTCCCTGCCCTCTCCAGGTATACGGCATGCTCATGGCTCGAGCCACCAGCGAGGGTCTAGGAAAGGCTCTCCCCGACAAGCGGCCGTTTGTGCTGACCCGGGCGGGGTTTATCGGCAGCCAGCGCTATGCTGCCTCATGGACGGGAGACAATCTGGCCACCTGGGAGTACCTCCACATGAGTGTCCCAATGGCACTCAACATGGTACGGTACGGTGTGGTGAGGTATGGTGTGGTGCATTGTCGTATGGTTGGGGACGTGGCAACGGGGTTTATTGGCAGCCAGCGCTATGCTGCCTCGTGGACGGGAGATATCCTGGCGACCTGGGAGTACCTCCACATGAGCATGGCGCTGAACATGGTATGTGGTGTGCTATGGTATGGTATGCAGTTGAGGATGTATTTTAAATCAAATTCCTGTTATACGAGGTGGGAATTGTTGTTTTTCATATGTTGCAACTTGTATTGTCTGAGTTTTCAACAATCATGCTTATTGGTTATTAATAAAAGCACATTAACAATGCAATTTTCCCTCCTTTGGCACGTTGACTGTGATTCTCCTGACCGTTTGTTGCAATTTTACTACCACTCGAATCCTTGCAGCTTACTTGCTCCCATTCAACACTCTCTTTGCAGCTTACTTGCTCCCATTCAACCCTCTCTATATTACTGAAGGAGACTAAAATAGTCTGATAAAATTAGCCCTGTCTGAGAAGGAGCAGGGGGGTGAGAAAGAGCAGGGGGGTGAGAAGGAGCAGGGGGGTGAGAAGGAGCAGGGGGGTGAGAAAGAGCAGGGGGGTGAGAAGGAGCAGGACCTTTCCCCCCTGTTCCTGCTCACGCCCCTGCTCCTTCTCACCCCCCTGCTCCTTCTCCCCCCCTGCTCCTTCTCACCCCCCTGCTCCTTCTCACCCCCCTGCTCCTTCTCACCCCCCTGCTCCTTCTCACCCCCCTACTCATTACCACCCTCCTCCTCCTTTCCACCCCTCACTCCCCACTCCCTACCTAATCTAAGGACGCGGCACCTCTAGCACCGATCCTGCGATCGATCCTGCGCAGGATCGAATTTTTGAGGAGTTTTAAATGGTGTTGGGAGCTGCATATAAATTTAGCAGGATTTCAGTGCGGTGGAATCAGTTATCCTGTGATCGATCGTGCAATTTTTCTAGAGGTGCCGCGTCCTAACTTCAGCCTCTGAACGGGGGCCTGACATCGGTAGCTTTGCTCTGAACGCCACTCCACAGCTGTTTGCTCGGTGGATGGGCATCGGGGCTCTGCTGCCCTTCTCACCACCATATGCCATTTCTCCTCCCACCCCCCTTTTCCCCCTCCCCTTTTCTATCCCGTTCAGGCTCTGAGCGGCCAGCCTCTGAACGGGCCGGACATTGGAGGCTTTGCTCTGAACGCCACTCCCCGGCTGTTTGCTCGGTGGATGGGAATCGGTGCTCTGCTGCCCTTCTCTCGTGGACACTCTGAGAAAGGGACAAAGGACGCCGAACCATGGGTGTTTGGGGAAGCGGTGAGAGGAACGGGAGGGAGGGTGGGAAAGCGGATTGCTGCACAAGGGTTTGTGGGGATGGGTATTGGGGTTTTGCTGCCTTTCTCCCGCGGGCACTCGGAGAAAGGGACAAAGGACGCCGAACCATGGGTGTTTGGGGAAGCGGTGAGAGGAACGGGAAGGGAGGAGTGGGAAAGGCAATGGTGGGAATGGGATGTTGTGGATTGTGTCTATTATTTTGAGTTTTATCGTATCGTATGGTATTGCATTGGTGTAACAAAGGGTTTGCTGGAAAAGTAAAAGAGTCAATTTTGGAAGGGATGCGTTCGGTGGAAATGTGATAAAATCTTACTTGACTTTGTGAAGATCTTGTTCAATAACACCATCTTCCCCCTTCCCTTCTCACCTCCCTCCCGTCCCCCGCGCCAAACAACCCCACCAGTGTGATGGAGTGGGTCGGAAGGTTATAGAGTGTTGTGACCACCTGCTGCCGCATCTCTACACACTCTTCTACCATCACGACAACACTGCTTGCTCTGCCAACTCTCACTAGCCTCCCCCTCTCCCTCCCCCTCTCATCAGTGTGAGGGAGTGTGTCGGAAGGCCATCGAGCGTCGATACCGTCTGCTGCCGCACCTCTACACACTCTTTTTCCATCACGACAACACCGGCAGCCCTGTCATCTCGCCCCTCGTCTTTGCTGGTACGTCTGTTTAGCACTGTCATATGAGCACCACCATCACCCATACCGCCTGCTGCCGCATCTCTACACACTCTTCTACCGTCACGACAACACCGGCAGCCCGGTCCTCTCGCCCCTTGCTTTCGCCGGTGCGTCTACTTGGCCCTGGTCGGTCATTGTAATCTATACCACCACCTGAGTGACCATACATACCGCTTGCCTGTTGCCGCACCACGCCGCGCTTTTCTACTTGCCACTGCACTGTCATATGAGGACCACCTGGAATAGGAATAGGATGCCGTCTCAGCTCAAGATTCAGGTTTGCAGCTACTCCGCAATGAATCTCAATCTCCGCCTGTCGTCTCGGTCGGCCCTCGCCTCGCCATTGCTGGTGCGCCCCGTCAGACCCCTCCAACCCAGCGCTGCGGCTGCGGGCAGTGGAAGATCGCTTCCTGCTGGGCCCTCTGCTCCTGGTTTCTGTGGGCCCTTTAGTTTCTCCTGGTGAGAGAGATGGTCAAATCAACTCGTTTTGAGACGCCTCAAAACTAGATTTAGTTTCTCCTGGTGGTGAGAGAGATGGTCAAATCAACTCGTTTTGAGACGCCTCAAAACTAGATTTAGTTTTTCCTGGTGGTGAGAGAGATGGTCAAATCAACTCGTTTTGAGATGCCTCACCACTAGATTTAGTTTCTCCTGGTGGTGAGAGAGATGGTCAAATCAACTCGCATGTCCCCTACCTGCCTGTGTGTGTGCCCATGCCTGTCTGTTCCTCCCAGACCCATCCAACCCAGCACTGCGGGTAGTGGAAGATCGGTTCCTGCTGGGCCCTCTGCTCGCCCTGCGACTGTTCTTCTTGTTGGGACTTCACCTAAAACGAGCATCCCTTGTGCATGCCTGTGCCCCATCGTCCCGCTCAGACCCATCCAACCCAGCATTGCGGGCAGTGGAAGATTGTAGAAAAACAGACCTAATGTGCACAATGTGCACAAGGAGAGGCTGGTTCTGAAATGCTGAAAGGTTCTAGAAGCAGTAAATCAACTGAAGTGATGAATACAAGCAAAACAAAGGCTAAAATAGGCAGAAAATGGGGAGAGCTAGCTTGGAGGCGACTTGGGCTGGTCCAGGTGAGGAATTTGGTACCCAAGGGACTTGGGGTGGCCAAATGGGTGCTCAAGTCGCCCACAGTCAAGATGGGGACGTGAGGGACCCTCAAAGTGGGCCTGGAAGCGCCCCCTACAGTGGAACCGCGATTCCACGAATTGGAAACGCGAATTCCAAGTTGGAGCCGCGTTTCCAATGTTGAAATTCGTGGGTCCAGGCTGGAGCCGCGTCCCCAAGATTGGGAAACGTGCTGAGGTGCCCCAAAGCCGAATTTGGGGTGCCTAGCACTTGATAAAGTCACTCAGGGGGCACCCTATAACTTATATAGCCCAACCCCTATTGTCTACACTATTATAATGTAAACAAATACGTACAAACTTTAAATAAACTAGTGAACAAAACCTGCAGCAAATTTAAAGGAAAATAAGTACCCAACAACACCCCCCCTTTGGGTGACACCGAGGGAGAGGTCAAAGGAGAAGTAGCAGGGCGAAGGCCGATGCAGGACTGGAGACGCTGCAGCGTGTCACGAGGGAGAGGCTTGGTCCCCAAATCAGCAAGGTTATCACGGGTAGGGATATAATGCAGCGAGATATGCCCTTTGTCAACATGGTCACGGAGGAAATGGTGGCGGATGTCAATGTGCTTGGCACGGGCATGGAAAACACCAGCGTCCTTTGCCAAGACAATGGCGCTAGTGTTGTTACAAAGCAGCGGGGTGGGACCAGTGGGGGGAAGGCCGAGAGAGCAGAGGAGAGTGCGGAGCCAAAGGGCTTCGTGGGTTGCCGCACCGAGCGCATAGTATTCAGCTTCGCAAGTGGATGTTGCAACCACACATTGCCGCTTGGATTGCCACGAAATCAGAGAAGGGCCAAGAAAGAACAGGTATGCAGTGAGAGAACGACGATCCTCACTGTCGGAAGCCCATGAGGCATCACAATATCCGATCAGCTGGAGGGAAGCGGGATTGCCACCAAGTAGCAGCCCATGGGAAGAAGTCCCTTTGAGGTAACGGAGAACACGCTTAGCAGCCAACCAATGTGGATCGGACCAAGAATGGAGGTGACGCGAAACGAGTCCAGTAGAATGGGCTATGTCAGGGCGTGTGGCAACCATTGCGTACATGAGAGAGCCGGCCACAGAGGGATATGGAAAGGGTTCAGATGGTGGCGATAAGGAGCGTGTTGGAAGGAGGAGCTTAGAGTCCATGGGGGTGTGGCTGGGGTTGGCATGGCTGAGATTGAAGGTAGAGAGGAGGGCAGTAATAAATTTGGATTGGTGGATGAGGAGGGTGCAAGAAGAGCGGTCGCGGTCTAAGTGGAGGCCGAGATAATAAGTTAATGGGCCAAGGTCACGAAGTTTGAAGCGGGTGGCGAGAGAAGTCTTGAAGGTGGTAAGTGGAGTGATGGTGGTGGAAAGGACGATGAGATCATCGACATAGACTAGTACAAGGAAGAAGTGGGAAGGATGGGGAAGAAGAGGGGAGGAGGGTGCTGCAATGAAAAGTCCAGGGTCGGCATCGGAGGTGTGAAGGCCAAAGGTGAGAAGCTCCGATTTCAGTTTTTTGTACCAACACCGAGGCGCCTGCTTGAAGCCGTACAAGGGCTTGTGCAGTAGGCAAACTTGAGGAGCGCCGTTGGCAGAAGGGAGTTCAAAACCGGGTGGTTGGGTCATGTAAATAATCTCGTCAAGGTCGCCGTTGAGAAAGGCATTGGAGATGTCGAGTTGATGCATCTCAAGATCAAGGGCAGCAGCAAGGGTGAGGAGCAAGCGAAGCGTAGCAAAGCAAATGTCTCAGTGTAGTCAAGGCCCTCGCGTTGCTTAAAGCCTTGAATGACCAAACGGGCTTTATAGCGCTCGATAGACCCATCCGGGTTCTCTTTGACCTTGAAAACCCATTTGCAAGGGATAGGAATGCAGTTGGGTGGTTTGGGCACAATGCTGTAAGTGCGGTTGGCTAGGAGTGCAGTGATTTCAGCGTCAGCAGCAGCAAGCCACTGGGGAGCAGCGGGGCAAGAGCGGGCAGCAGTAATGGTAGGTGGCTCGTAGTGGGAATGAAGAGCAATGTGGGCAAAGTCGTGAAAATAGTGGGCTGAATCGCGATCTTCATCAAGGATGTTGTGAGCAGAGGGGTCAGAGAAGGTGAGGTGAAAGTCTTGGGCAGTGGGGTTCGGAAGAGGAGGAAACAGGAGAGGTGAGGAATCGGGTGTGGAGGCTAGCGTCTGAAGGGAAGTGGGAAGGGTGAAAGGCTGGAAGGGAGGGGTGGGGAGCGTGGGAAAGAGAGGTGCAGCTGGAGTAGTTGAGGGAGAGGTTTCTGTGTGTGTCGCAGGAAGCAGAGGAGGAATGATAGGGTCTGGTGAGGAGGTAGGTTGGGAAGGCGGGTGAAGTGATAAAGTGACAGGTGCGGGAACAGGGGGTGATGGTAGAGGTGGTGGTGGGCGAGGAGGAGGTGAGGGGTATGTCTCAAGGAAGGTGACGTCTCGAGAGTAGACAACCCGGCGGATGGAGGGAATATAAGCACGATATGCTTTGTAACCATCAAGAAGACCATAGCCGAGGAAGATGCCGGGAGCACTGCGGTCATGTAACTTGGATTCTCGATAAAGAGTAGGTAGAAGCACGGAGACAGGGCAGCCAAACACGCGGAAATGGGTGACGTCCGGCCGCTGACCTGTCCATAATTCCATAGGCGTGACATCACGAGGGAGTGACCGGGAAGGAGAGTGATTGCGAATATAGGCAGCAGTAAGGGCTGCTTCCCCCCACCACCCACGAGGAAGACCGCTGTCATGTAACATGCACCGCACCATGTCAAGGATGGTGCGATTCATCCGCTCAGCGACGCCATTTTGTTGCGGAGTGTATGGTGTAGAGACTCGCCGAGTGATGCCACGCGAATCGAGGAAAGCCTGAAAAGCGTCGGAAAGATATTCCGGGGCGCCATCGGAGTGCAAGACCTTGAGATTTGTCGCGCAATGGCTTTCGGCTGTTGCGAGATAGCGCTGAAATGTGCTAAAGACTTCAGAGCGGGATTTGAGAAGGTAGACGGTGGTATAGCGGCTATAGTCATCAATGAATGTGAGGAGATAGGTGGCGCCGCCAAATGTGCTGCCGATGGGAAACAGTCCAGCGACGTCAGTGTGCACAAGGTCAAGCGGGGCTGAGCTGGACGAGGTGGAGTCTGGAAAGGGCGGGCGAGTCTGCTTCCCACGAAGGCACGAAATGCAGGTGGAAGGCAGGGAGCCGTTGAGGCTGAGGCCGCTGACCATCTGTTTTGAACGAAGCTGCTGCAAGCTGTGTCCGTTGAGATGTCCAAAGCGCCGATGCCAAAGCAGAGAAGAAGTGGCAGAACATGATTCGGGAATAAGAGGAGGAGGTGCTGATGCCGCTGAAACTGTGGCTGACCGGGAAACTGAGGCAGGGCTGAGATTAACGAAAAACAGCTTCATGTGCTCGTGGGCAACGGCAAGAACTGTGGAGCCTTGAAACACTTGGGCAGGAGCATGAAGAGGGAAGTGTGTAGTGAGTCCTTCGTCCTTCAGCTTACGAACAGAGATGATATTGTGAACAGTCTGGGGAATGTACAGAACATCCCGCAGGGTGATGGGATGGGTATGGTTGTCATGAGAAGCGTAAACAAGAATGTCCCCAACTCCTTGGGCAGGGTACTGCTCCCCACCGCCAAACCAGACGCCACTACCAAGAAATGGTCGACGGAGGGAGAAGAATAGATGAGGATCATTGCAGAGATGCGAGGATGCGCCAGAGTCAAGGAGCCAGGAGGAGGAAGAAGGAGAGCTGGTGAGGGCGGAGGCGAGAGGCCGCTGGAGCAAGATGGAAAAAAGGCAGAGGAGAAAGGATACGAGGAGGAGTAGCGATGGTAGGGACGGCAGCCAAGAGGGAGGGAGTAAGTGCGCGGTGGCGACATCGGCAT